TCTTTTCCCGCGACCCCGCACTTGTGTGTCCACATCCGTGATTTTTACACTATACTTTATGTACTTAATAGTTTTTTCATTCCACCCTTTGGACTTTTTTTTCTCCCTCCACCTGTATCTCCTAACGCGACGAAAAAAAAAAAAGACTACAAGCCGCTGTTCTCTTCGCCCCTTACATACCTATACGTGCTTCGAGAGAGGCGAGCCAAGCAATTAATCGCTCGGCGGTGGGTATTCGCACATGACGTACGGCGTAGAGCTAAAAATTATATTTGTAGCCCTATCGGGGGGTACATTATGTATACAACACCCGCGGGGTGGAACAAATATATTTTCGACTCAACATTTCTCGGAAGCCGGATAGATATGGATATATATATACATGCGCGTCAGAATTTTTTTGTCCACTCGTATACCTCTATTTGTTCGATTGGGCGGTGATCGCGATGGTTTGAGGGCCCAGTACGTCTTAACGCGCCAAATTCAAGTGCGTCAACAATTGGAGTGTGAAACTAGTAGGTTTCCAACATTGAGTTGAGAAAATATCCACTTTTACAAAATATCAATTTTGTACAGTACAGCGTAGCTTACAGGTAAAGAACAACAAATAAACGATTTTTCCAAACTGTCGCACACTCGGAGGATTTGACAAATACGACACGGCCCCTCGTCCACAATCCTCTTCTCCAAAGGACCATCGATTCTTTTTGTTTCTTACATTTTTTCTCTCTCGTCTTCTCAACGAGCTCGACTCACCGTGTAAAATATATACACCTGACCCATAAATACTTGGCTGGCAAATTTTGGTTCTTGAATTCCGAAAAACACAATGAATAACAACGAAGACGCCGATAAAAGAGGCGCAGCTTTGGAGGTGGAGGAAAAAAAAGGCACTCGCCTCTCTCTCTCTCTATGCATTATTAATACGGTGTTCCGAGAAGCGCAATATATCAAAACCGAGGAGCTACCACGGCCATTCTAGTAAATCAACGGAAATCCGAAACTCTTGTGCCATCGTGCACACACGGGGTCGAAAGAACAACCGCAGCAGAGGACAGAGGGAGCGTTTAGCCAGCTCGTTAGTATATCATGAGTACTCGTAGAAACGCATCGTGGGTGGGGGTGTACTCGATGAAATGTACAGATCACGGCGTTCATTTTCGCACAGTGCCCCCTGGGAAATCGGAAAAACCCAGTGGTCGAGCAATGAGTAGGTGCATGGAGTTTCTCCGATTCCGAGAAAATTCGGTGTGTGTCCCCCCTAGAGAGCGAGAGAGTCATGCATACCTGTGCAGTGCGTGTGTGCAAAAGGAGCGTTAGGAAGGGGGGAGAGGGGAAAGCCCATCGATGTCAGATCGAATTCTCTACGGAGAGTAGGTATAGGGAAGGGGGCACGGAAACGCGAGACGCACGCCCGCATCCTTAAACGCGAGCAGGACACGCGAGACGAATGCGCAACGAGTCCTCCCTCCCCCAACCTCATCTCTTTTATCCCTTTCTCTGGGAGGTAAAAAGAAGAAGCAGATACGTCCAAGGAGGAAAGGACACAGACTCTCTCTCTCTGTCTGTACCCATTATGCGTGCACGCATATATGGGCAAACGCTGAGATTGAATCGTCGTCCTTCCCCAAGAGTAGCAGCTGCTGATGCTGCCTCCTCGGTACTGATGTATGTACCAGGTATGTACAAGCTTTGTCTACCTGTACGTATACATATATATATATATATATATACCTATAGGGTAAGGGTACGTACGTATGCGATGTGTATCCGTTTGGTTATACGCTCTCTCGGTGCTCGTGTTTTTGTTTTAAGGATCAGCATCGCAGGAATGCAAGGGACTGGTGCACTGATACATATACGTACACACCAACCGAGGATTTTTGTACTTCTGCGTTGGCTGACACTGTCGTGTACCTTAATTCGTAATTGTCTTTTCCGTTTACTCTGATGTTTATTGACTTTGTTTCCTGTACAAAGGGTTGGCGTTTTCATAAAGTTTTCGACTTGCGCGAGGTGGATCGTCTCATTAAACAATAGCGAAAACTTTTGACTGAACTCTTTTCCTTTTCAAAGTTTCCCTCGCCATACTTTCTAATTACCTATCTGCCGTTTCTCTCCCTCCATCTCTTTTTTAAGAAGAAAAAAAAAAACTCTATCGTCAAAGTAGAACCTCAAAATCGTAACAACTGCGCGTAGTGCTTATTTTCTCGCCGATACCATAGTGCGAATGAACAATTGAAAAAAAAAAAAAAAAAAAAAAAAAAAAAAAAAAAAAAGAAATGTTCGAACAAACAGACAAGTTTGACGGGACGAACGAGGTCCCAACGGCAGCGCCTCCGCTTCTGTTTTATATTCCAAGTCATCGCGACCAGTTGGCTTGTACGGGGGCAATAATCATGTACCGAAAAGAAAAATAATAACAATTCAACCAAAAATCGAGCAACAGCGGTAGGCCAACAAATTCCTACGTATACATCGAACAACGAGTGATTGATCGACAGCCCAAAAAAAATCATAGTACCCTTTAGGCAATATATATACAACACAGACACCGAATTGAATTATCTAACCATCAATTACACCAAGAGCTCCATCATCTCTATTTCACCGATACATATACTTACAGCAGCCGGTCCCTCGTTAACACAAGCTACGGCCGACTTTCAAACGCGCACCCTCACACCTCATTGTATATACATATATAATACACGTACACACATGTGAGTACGAGTAATGACGCGTGCGGGATCCTTTGGCTTGGTCGTCAACGAGACGGAATTATTGTACACCTATGTACACGTGGTACATGCCTCGGATACAGATATTATTATTTCTCGATCAATGACGATCCGTATAACGTAACGCGATTCCATCATAAAGAAACGGATCGAGTTTAACGGTGTGTATACCATATAATTACGTTTTAACAGGCGTGTTGTGTATATTAATGACAGGTGAGCTCCAAGCGTGATATCCTTCTTGTATTTTTTTCAGTCATCCACCGGATGATGGATCGATGGACGGGTACACATCAATTGGACCATTCGAGCGATAGGGTACTTACTCGCTCTTGCATCGGTGTAACACAAAAAAGTTGTTTAAACAACATGTTTTTCCTCCGTTTGAAAAACATTTGTATTCTTCGCTTACCCATTGAAAGGTGACCTATGCACGACGCCGTCACCATCACGCCCTCAAGTATACAATAATCATGGTATAAGGGTATAGATAAGTAGTTTGGCTATACTGCATTGTGCACTCGAATGGAAAAACAACAGGCTTACGTGAGATTTGGTGTTGAAGTCTAGCTATAAAGTGACGTATATTTGGTACAAAATACCCAAACTGTGTAATTCAGAAAGAAAAAAAGCCAACATCGATTCCTTGCAGTGGTGGACCTTTTTTCAGGAGCAAAAAGCGTTTCACTTGTTCTCAACGCATCACTGTGAATTTAAAAACCCCCGAAAAAAAAAAAAAAAAAAAAAAAAAATTCCTCAAAACAAGGCAGCACAGACAATCGAAACAAAACTTGACAGTCAATTACGTGGACATGTACGTGCGTAACCGCACAAATATATAATGCGTATTATGGCACTGGTGTACAGAGTCGCGCGAACAGAAGGCACGGAAACACGGAAACATAAATCGTCCTCGCGCCCATCATCCATCTCCTCCTCGTCACGCGGATATCAACCTGTTGCCGAAGGCTGACACCCACACTTGCTTGTACAATACATATATACCCACGTGGAGAGAGATGCAGCGGCAGACTCTATACACAGACAGATAAAAAAAAAAACAGGGACTCTGGCTGCCGGGTTGAAACGTCGAGGCTAATTAAGCGACTAATTCTTAATTAACCGAAGAAAAGCAGCTGCTACGGTGAGGAGGGTAAAAAGTAAGGGGTGGCAAAAGAAGGAAAAAAAAAAAAAAAAACGAGAGTGACGAGCCAGAGAAGTAGCGACGCTATTTGCCTCTCGGGTTTTATGGGGCTCGCTCACGCGAACTACGTCTACGCCAACTCGGTGTGCCTGTCCCCTGTACACGCGCGCAAGTAGTCCCCGCATAATGATGTCGCGAGTTGATATTATATCCAAAAAAAACTATACTCCTCCTTGTTTTTCCTTCCTTTTTTACCTCCAGTTGTGGCTATCTTTTTCCCGCTGCAGCTCGCGTGTGCGCCCCTCGCCTCGGTCTTTTTATCTCAATACGTGGCTTTCGGGGAATTTGCACTGTTAAAAAACTATTTTCGCGGCTTGTCTCCATAGCTTATGGGCCATGGGAATTGAAAAAAAAAAAAAAGATTGCACCTTGTGAATCTTTCGCCTACATGGTGTACATCAAATACAATGAATTTGAGTAAGTGGAGAAAAAAAAACCATCTGTCAATGACGACTCGTTTCGACGATCGAGAAGTAGATGAGGCCAAAACGCCTCATCTTTCTGTAAAAATCCATTGGCCAGTAAATCATAAGCGCCGTTGCGCGGAAAAGCCCGTAAAAACCGGGGTAAGAGCATCGGGCAGCGTAACGAGCGGTAAAAAATGTCGGCTAATTGACTAGTTAGCTCAGTCGCGTCTCGAGCCAACTGTAAATCTCCGGCGACTTTGCATCATATTTCTCGTGGATGCCCCTCCCGCGACACAACAACGGTTTGCTCGAAACGTATCAAGCCGAAGAAACGCCCACGTTTGCCTCTCGGACGAGGAAATAAAAGCCGAGGAGGCTCCGTAAATTTACCCCGTCCCTTTTAACTTTGTCTATAAAAAGCGCGATAAAAGTCCAAAATACAGGGAAGATGATTAAAAATTGGCGGAGCACCTTGTTTCGGTCCCCCAAGAGATAGATACATAATATACATACTCGACACTTTGGTAGCTCGTTATTGTACGAAACACAGCAGCTCGAGGCTCAAATACCATCGCGTGAAAAGTGTAAGCATATATACCTGTGCGAGTACGAGTACAAAATAAAACAGTAGTTGGGTGGATTACTCACTTGGCGACGCTCTCGAGAAACCTGTCGAACTCGACGGACATTTTGCAGCACAGGGCTCGCCGATTGTGCGACGACGAGCACTTTGTGTTGATCATGTGGCCATCTGTAAAACATAAAACACGGTATGACGCGAGCTGTCATTGTTTTATAACGCTTGGGCGACAAAAAAATACAGCCGGTGCTCGATTGCTCATTGATAGAGAGACCGTGCGGGATCATGGACGGGTCTTGTATTTTTCGTTATTGACATTTTATTATACACCACCTCGTCTTCGAGTTTGGGTGCAAAACGTAAGATTCGTGCGATCTTTTGAATAACCGAAGATGATGATTTATCCACTGCTCGCGAAAGCCAACAACTGTTGACGGACTCGTACGACCCTCTGCTACAGGGTTGTTTTTTAAAATCTATTTTTACGCGTCAAAGCAAATTGAATAAACCGGATGAGCCATGAGTACAGATGCACCAATAAAACAAAGGGATCCAGCGCAGGAAGCCAAAGGTTTCCCGATCAATTACTCAATTAAAGCGACCAGTTTATTCCCGACGTAATACCTTCGACTCCGCTCTCCACGTCCTCCGCGAGTATAGCGCCACTCGTCTCGGCTTCCGGACTAATTAATTCACTCGCTCGTTCGTTCATTAATTAATCAATTCACCCCCGCCGCCCTGCTATAAACTCGTTACTTATACTCGGTCCGCTCCTGTATTTGCGGAGCACGAGTTTATTTGGGCTGACTCGCGGTACTAGAGTATATTTACGCACGCATACCCAGCGTGCCTCGGAGTTAAGTAGGTTGGCTAATCAGAGTCACGAATGCTGTATGCAGGCGAAGAATCGATTTCCAAAGGGAAAAACCTTTACCCGTAACCATGGCTCCGATTAAAATTATTTTCCGTTATTTTGTGTTTTTTATCCTCATCAACGACGATTGTAACAAAGGGATGTATAAAGTTTGATGAAAAAAAAAAAAAAAAAAAAAAAAAAAAACTCTCAAAGCCGGAGTCCTAGTCGCGTTACACCTCGTTAGCTTATCGAGACGCCCGAGGAGAAGTCGAGACAGAATCGTATTACGTGTTTTAACACCGCAGCCAAACACACGTTATACACACTCGATCCCCGAAGAATACACATTTGCTGAGTACGGGGCCCCGCAAGCCGCGGTGGAGTACCTATAGTTGTAAGCGGAGATTACCGGGCAAAATCATCGCGGAGAGAGATCCGCGGACTCGCCTCGCGAAAGAGAGGGGGAGGAGAAGCTCGGGTCAAATGTCGGAGGCTCGTTGCCACACACACACACACACACACCTCCTATACGCCCCTCTTCTTCTTCTTCTTCTTTTTTATGGATTACGGGCAAGTGCGGCGTGTATAGCTCTTCCTCCTCGTCTTCTCATTCTCTCGTATTCCGTGGATTCCCCAGTGGCCCCACGGCAGCGCCGGCGAGAGGAGATCCATGTCAGTGTGTCATCTCCGGCACGTCTCTCCCACTCCCTCTCCCTCTTGGAGGTCGCAGCTTCCTCCCTCCCTCTCTCTTTTCTCTCGGCTTTTTTATCTACTCGTTTCACGGAAAATAATTTGCTTATCGCTCTTTCGCTCCACACCGATGGCCCGATGTTTTTTCTTCTCCCCCCCCCCCCATGCACTTTTGAGCTATTGGCTTTTGGTGTTTCAAATTGATCCACGTGCGGGTGTATTTTACACGTACAGATGAAACGTTAACTCACAGTCCGAGGTATGTGTGTACGGGAATTCATCGAGGCTTTTTGCTAGTCGAGCTAATCGAGGGAAATAAGAACGCTCGGTCTCTCGTTTTATTTGTAATGAATAACGCCGTCTTTCAACACAGCGGCATATATTATGTAATTGATATTAGTTATACTCACTCGTTTGATTCTGGAAGTACGTATCGTCCTTGTCGGTGAAGAACCACGTCTGTAACATGGTAAAAAAAAAAAAACAATATGCGTGATTATGTGAACTTTGCTCGGGGAAAAAAGAGTAAGAGTAACTTTTATTAATGACTCGAGTGGTTATAGGGGAGGGAAAGAAGAAAAAAAGGTTTACTTATCGCCGTACCCAGACTATCGTGTACAATCGAGTCCTCTGTGTCATTGAAAGGGGGAGGGATACGGTGGTGGCCATGTGAGACCATAAACGCGCGCCAAGGAGCATTAAAAATAATGTTATTTTTAGACCCGTACGCTCAAACAGAGACGCGTCGCTCCTGCTCGCAAGTACTTAAAATGCATCGCGTGAATGGTGTAACCAAGTCGTATGTAAATCTACAACTTTTTTTGTAGCCTCTCAACGAAATGCTCATTCTCGAAAAATGTCCCACCCAAACGCCGACAGCAGCACAGTAATCACCTTCCCCGCGAGAGAGAGAGAGGAAAACGTCTCTGTTGAGGACAAAATTGTCGTTTGCTCCCATTATTACCCCCCTCCCTCCCCATGTCTTTCTCCCGGCCCGCGCGACTTGATGCATCCAAGTCAGCTGCACGAGGCGCACACCTTCCCCCTTTCTTTCCCATGGGATCGAGCATCGGTGGCGGTATGCGCTACATCGAAAATAATCTCTCGGGCCATCCGCGGCATCTCCGGCACTCCCCCCCCCCTCAGCCCCTGAGCTCTTTCTCTCCGACACCCATACCTTTGAGCAATTATTCACGCGGAAACGAGGAGCCCGGGGACCTTCTCTTTCACATTTCACCCTTTTTTGCCCGTCATCGCGCAGGTGCAGCTGTAAACTCCTTCGAGCGAAATTGTCACACCCGGAGAGAGAGCGTGTGTATACTTATCGCGCCTCTCTCGGATTGTAGTAAGTGAAAAACAACTAGAACAACAGCTCTGATAATACGGTCGAACGAAGGAGGCTCCGTTGGGTGGAGAGAGAAATCAGTGGAAATAAATTAATGTAGCCGCAAAGCGAAGGAACGCGAAAGAGATTCGGGGTCGGTGGGAGGAAGAGCAATCAAGGAGACACGAGAGCAAAGGAAGATAAAGGAAGAGAGTACATATAGTTAGAGACAAAAGCACACAGCGTTGAGGAGGAGAATCCGCGAGTGTGGCGTTCGCGGAAAGCAGGGAAGGGACACGGAGCAGTGCTAACGAGAGTTGGAATTGTAAATGGCAGAAACAAGATCGGGCCGTGACGTCAACGCGCGAGAGTACACGTACATAATATACGTATAGGGTGTAAATTCTTGCACACCCGCACGCGCGTGCACGGCTCGTGCGATTGATGAAGTTAATTACAGCCAATTGTTGGACGAGTCTGTGTGGGTATGCGCCATCTCTTCCTGACGGATACATATTTTGAGAGTTTTGGTTTCGTTCGGCGGTGCAGATCGACGTTGCTCTGAAATTTTGATGAGCAACGCGGAAATTGAGTCGATCGATAACAATGAGTAATTCATCCCACTGCTATACTTATACAGGAGAGCTTGATTACGTGTATTTGAAAACTCGATTCTATCAACGAGCTGGTGTGCAAATCAGTAATTGCGTATAGTTATACAATTAATGATCTTTCGTGCAATGCAAAATCCTCAAAAGATAGGGATAATCCAAAGAGTCAAGGGGACTACTCGACAGCAGCCCCGCGTGTATACATGCCGTTCGGTGTCGATCCCAGAGTTCGAGGAGCCCCCAAAACGAGTCGGGCCCCACGGCTCGGGCTACCGCAAACGACCGGCCGTAACTATCCTCCCCGTGGCCCCCTTATTCCCTCAAAGAAGCGCTAGGCCCTCCGAAAACCGGAGCAAAGGAGCGAATAAAAAAAAGAAGCACCCCAAAAGCCTTCTGTCCCTCAAAAAAAAGGGGGAAAAGAGAAAAAAAAAAAAAAACAGGTGAGCAGACACACGCAGAGTATATAGACGAGGAGGAGGAAAAAAAAACAAGGGAGGAGGGCAACGGTAATTGACCAATTATCGCGGTTGGGGCTCCGTGAAAATTGCCCGGCTTCTGCTGTCGGTGTATATATATACGTGCGTGCGTGCACGAGAGGGGCCATGCACGGAGTCGATAGTCACGACGGATAGTAGAAGGAGAGGGGCCCTTTTTTTCTGTGAGACGTGGAGCGTATACATATGCGATCGATACGGACTATACTGTGCTTCGGAGGCTCGATGCGAGAGTTTTTTGGCAGTGCGGTGTTTTTGCGTGCAAGCGTATTGTCCGGCAGCCATACTAAGCGAGCGGAAAGTGAAATTTGGACAGATATACCTATAGGGCTGTTTTTTCGCAAAGGGTCGACTTGGAAGCGGGTTTTTTGGAAATTAATCACCGAGAAATTCAATTTGCCCTGTGCGCCTCGTTCGAGGGTCTCGCGCAACGTCACGAAATAATCCCACTTTGTCGATCAATCGCAAAACCAATGGCCACCCGGGTGAATAAGAAATGAAGATTACTAAGTAAACCCGTAACCGTCAACGTGTCGAATTCGCGTCGCAATCGTCATCCATCGCCAACTCTCTCCCTCGCTGAAACGTAAATGTAACACCCAGGCATGCACAGAAACGTAAATAGTATGAAAACAAACATTTACGATATTTTTCTCGAACAACTACGTTGATAAATAAAGCTAAAGTAAGTGTCACACACACACACACACACCCTCACAACGATCGGGCAAGAGAGTTGTGGGGGTAATTTAACTTCGAGGGAATCCGCCCAAAGTTCTTCCGACTCCCGCAACCACGCGCGGTCCGTATTGGTTTTCGGCAAATCTTAAATTCCGCTGCGAAACGCGCACGGTAAACTTTAAATTTACCAATAAAGATTACTCTTTCCCCAACTTCAAGCTCCATCAGCTCGAAGAATTTCTCGGGCACTTTTTCCCCACTGTCGATCGAGATTTTTCAATCCCGCTCAAGAACAACGCGGCTGCATGTGTTTCATTGGCGGACGCGTGTGCAGCGCAGAGCTGCCCGGACATCCTCATAAAAAAAACGTGCCTCCGACCACTTGTGGCGGTATTAAAACATACACATCCGTCAACGATCCACGGACGTTTGCGTGCACGCACTTTTTTTTTCTCATTTCACACCAATCCAGGGGTGAACGAGCTGTACGCCGATCAGAGAGGGATGAGGCTCGTTATTTACCGACATACTCATAAATACAAATCGGTATACGTCAAAAGTAGATGGTCTCTGTTTATTTGTATTACATCTTTGTTTCTATTACTTTGCCAATATGAGCCACCCGGTCGTCCTTCATATGTAAACATTACATAGTTACACGAGTACACGCAGACACGGCGTAGGTATGAAATCACCATCAGCAACGTATGTATAGCCGAAGTGGCGTACAGGTAAGTAACGAAGCCAAGAGAGGGGCATCGGAGAGATAAACGACCAAAACCTCCCGAATAGAGGGAAAAGAAGCATTTTACGTCCCTACACCACGTACATAATATATACGCCTATACGTATATGAAAACGCGAGTAAACACGTAAAAGAACTGCAGTTGAGCGTGTAATACACCGATGGTATACGTGTAAGTAGCTCGCCGAGGCAAGAGAGCCTCCCCTCAATTTCGCCTCTCGCGAAACCCCTCATTATACTCTCTCTCTCTCATCCCTCCTCGCGCGCATTCAATTTTCGCTCCTCCGATCGCGGATGTATGTACGTCTCGACCATCGAATCCCTGCAGCTTTCGTTCCTATGTACGTATATATGTATAACATAATATACACATTGGCTCGGTTGCTCCTCTCCTCGCTTAATTATCATCGGCCGAGGAGCCGAGCTGGTGGAGGCGAAAATCATCGCGAACTGGCGATCCGACGTTGCGTCTGTTGCAGGTGGCTGTTGCTGCTGCCCTTTAATGCATCAGCGCGTCGGGGTCGAAGGTAAATGAGCATCACCCGTGAGATCTTCCCACGAGCTGTTGGCGCATCATCTGCCCAAAGTCCGATGGACGCCTCTATATACACATACACACCGACACGGACGTGATTTTTCCTCTGTATGCGTACTCGCTGCCGAGCTTACTTACGTATACACTGCACCCCCTCGTTCGTGCGACGCTCGGCTTATTCACGGGGTTCGCGCAAATCGAATCTCGGCCTCTCTACTCTTATTGCGGAACTGCGTGTGTATCTATGTCCAGCCTACCGTCTGTATAGTGTGATGGTTAATGGGTAACAAAATTTTTTTTTTTTTTTCTTTTTTTTTCATCCAACCGTGTTACGACAGCTTACGAGATACGTGTGTACGAATGGCGCTTTCATCAACGTGCAAAATCGACATTCATTAGCGAGTGTCGATTTCGCGGTATTGATTCTTCGACGCGGGTATTGTACATATACAATGGGATATCGATACCTTTCGTAAATATCCATGTATGAATACAAACTCATTCATCCGAGTTTGTGTGCACCTGGTGTAGCTCTACAGATCTTTTTTTTTATTTTTTTTTTCAAGTGGTTAAAAAAAGGAAGGAAAGAAGAAAAAACACGAAAAGCACCCCCACGCACCCGGAAGATAAAGCCCGACCCAACACCGTCACCAATTAGTCCGCGGGTTCCCACCAGACTCGGGGGAGGGACGACAACCCGTCCTTCCGTCTAGTCCCTTCGACCTTTCCCTTATCGTCCAACCATCGCTCCCGTCCCTTCTTGCCCCGTCGCGCCGCAATCGGCTTACAATGCTCGCAATTAGCCGCGAACGCGCGCCAACCGATACCCATCTCGAGTCGATGGAAAAACAAAAACAATGCGAGCTCGTATCGCTTATTCGCCCTCAATCGGAGAGCACACGATGGCTGTACGTATACAAGTGCATGGGGGAATAATAAAAGCAGAAAACAGGGCGAGTCGGGTGATTGCGCCACTCGCGGACACCCGCACCGAGTTCTTACATGGGTGCACATATTGAGTCGCGTTGACGAGGATACGGGGCAAGGGGAGGTGGAAGAGGAGCTGTAGCGGTACACGCTGTTATCCGATGGGACCCGTCGTTTTTAAAGACGATCGTTGGAGTTGGATATTTGAAATGGTTGGGAAAATAATGTATTTCCCAAATCAATTCTGACACACGATCGTACACGTCTTTAATGTCGAAGCTGTACCGTCAGACGATTCGCTGTAGACCAATACTCATGAGTTGCGTGCAAATGACGACAAAAAACAAAGGTTTATCTGCACGACATATGATTATAAATTACTTAATATATTTTACACATTCCTCTCTTTTGTGATTAAAAAAAAAAAAAAAAAATACATCTGCCTCCCACTAACTATACGATTCCGTCGCTCGTCATTCCAATTTTCACTGTCAACCCCGAAAGCGAAAAATGTATCAGTTGTACGATGAACAGTATAATAAACAAACAATGCACCGCTGTCATACGATCCTTTTTTATTTTCCACGACAAAAAAGAGTCAAAGAGAAAAAAAAGAGGCTACCAGGGAGGGGGGTAGGGGGAGGTTGAAGGGAAAAGAATACGCGTGTAACGAAGCGGCGCCTCTCCCACACGTGCGCGATAGAGAGAACGCGTACACGTATGTATAGATATATGCACATCGTAGGTAGTACACCTAAACACAATATATAATGGACGAGGGGGAGGACACGGGGGGGGGGGAGCGGAGGCCGTTCCATTGTCTACACGCGTGCACACTCGCGCTTTTTTCTCACGTATGTGCAGAGCGCCTCGCTCTCTTTCTCTCCCCCTCCCCGTTGCGTGATGCCAGTGTTATAACGTGCGTATACAGATATGGGATTCGCCGTGTGCACGGGCGGCGCATCGCGAAAGTTCGCGATGCGTTTTCGTGGGAACGCAAGCAGCGAGTTTCGTACATATATGTATATATATATTTTGCGCGCGGCTTCATTAACGTGTTTTCTCGGTTGCGTACACTTGCCGATCTCGGGTGTATCGGTTTTGGTTGTAGGCGCGCGGTCCGGCTTCATAAAGGACCGAAGGACTCAAGGAGGTGAGCTCGGTGTCAATGGGTGTCGGCGATCGGATGCATCGCACGCTCCTAATTATGTAAAAGAGTCGCGTCTCCGATAGGAAGTCGAGAGACTGTACAACGCATCATATTACATTGTTATGCCGTCTACCGATCTCGCGACTGTCACGTGGTCGTCCAAAACTCTATCCAGCAGCTATATACTTATCTCCTGAACGCAAACGAAGACGATTCAACTGATACATCATTGGTTTTCCCGAATTGCAAAGGGGCTCTAAAGCTTGAGTCTCGCAATGAATGCGTATACGCGGCCAATAAATCGGTAATCTCTCTATTTTGCTATCCCTCGAGACTTTTCCCCCCGGTGTACATAAAATACGGCCCAATGCCGAACGCATCAGAGTGTACACGATATATTATGCCCAACTCGAGTAAACAGCTTGACGTATTATTTCCTGCCTTTCTTTCGACGCGCGGAGTATATAGCGCATCGGCTCGTACATAGAAACGTCTTCGAAGATATGCTGTAACGCGTACTCATGCATGGGATAAAAAGCCTGATTCTCGATCATTTGGGGAAAATCGGTCTCCTCATACCTGAGTCGCGAGTGTGCATCACGTGCTGCTACCGGCCTAACCGGTGTCGTTATGTATATACATGCTCTCGATTTGCATAGACGAGCCCCTTGCTTTTCACCGTAAGGTTCCTCCATTACCATATAATTATATCGTGTGTGTGGAGTCAGAATAGACTCTTTGGATACCTTCCAGCACGCGTGTTTATTGAGACGCATCACGAGTACAATATGCCCACCTGACTTTGCTCGCTGTACCATTGCCCAATAATATGAGGTGTATACATACGTGTAAGTCCGAGGGGGAGTTTTTAATATTTTTTCACGGTCTATATACTCGACTGTACTTTCCACGAATCCGTACGGACAAATAAACGCCGGTCGGGGGGGTGTGAAAAAAATACACAAGAGATCGTTATATTAAGAGTACACCTGCAAAGATTTCGAGTTATGAAATTATCACGGCGATGCTCATGAAAAGGTCAAATATTAAAGTACCACACGTGTTCAATTAGCGCGTGTGCGATAGGTCCCAGGAAAAAAAAAAAAAAAACAATGCTGGATGAAAATGAGTGGTGATTGGTCGGTACGAACCTGATCCTTGGCGAACTGAAACCAGGTGTCGATGATGGCGGGCAGCCGCGAGTGGTGGTAGTGCCTGGTGGTCTTGACGCTGATGAACAGATCGGCGAGGTCCGTGGAAAAGGGGGCCGCGGTTGCTAGAGGTGGCGTCGCTAGCGCCAGTTCACCGGTGCCGCTGCCCGCGGCAACCGATCTCACGCCGATCCTCGCGAATCGGGGCAGTATCGGTATCACCTCCACGGACGCGTCGCCGACCAACTCATCGCTGCTCGCCTCGTCCGCCCACTGAAACACCAAGAGATAAGAACAGCCGTTTTCTTCCTCACTCTCTTTTTCTGGCAAATATTGATATTGGGTGCACACCGAAAGTAAGTATAGGAGGCCACGAGGAGAGCTCGAATGGCTGTTGGTTATAATGTTGAAATGGTATTCGAGTCGAGTGACTTTAAGAGTTGATTATTTTCGAACGAAAACTTGCAGCTTTGAGAGAAAAAGTAGCCGATCAGGGCCAGCTTGCAAGGCACGTACTAACATAAGTAGGACGTGTAAAATATAAAACACAAGCTCACCTGTCTGGGTGCAACGGCCTGGTAGAGCAGGACAGTCGCGTATGCGGTCGCCAATATGAGGGCGACAGCTTGCAGGGCCCGTTTAGCGGGCACCAGACCCCTCGGCATCGCTGCCTGCACGGCGGCGGCCCGGTGCTGCCCCTCGGCCCCGTCGACGACGACCACGACGAGGTTGCGCTTGTCGTCGCGCTTGTTGCCTCTACCTCCGCACGCGCTCACCACCGGCCGCCAATCCGCCGGGCTACCGCCGCAGCACGAGCTCATCGGTGCGACTAGCGGGCCGGCCTACCCTCGTCGAGGTGGCCGGCAGCATGCGCCCTCCAAATATTGCGCGCCCCTCGGCACCGCCCACCCACCCTCCCGACCCGCACTACCCCCTTCGGCTTTTTACTTCTTCTTCTTCGTTACTCTGTACGAAGCACTCGCTGCGCACTCGTTTGCACTGCTCGGGACAAAAATACGTAGGGCTGATTGTACCGAATCTTGCGATTTTAGGGAACCGCGTGTACCGATTTGCGCTTCGGATCGAGGGGATCGTTTACCCAACAATGACAGCCAAGTCAAGCGATAGCTGTTGGTTGTTTACAAGAGTTCGGCGTTCGTTGGGTTCGCGTGATTGCAGTCAGAGCCGGATTTACCGATCGATCGGTGATATTGCGGTACTGTGATGCGAAAAAGCATCGCGCACTGGCACTTTTGCCGAAAATTTGGGGGACAAATCGGCCGATCGTCGACCCGATACGTACAGTCAAAACATTGGATCGCGCGCGCGCGCACACGTATACACGAACGTCAACACATGCAATCGACCGCAAAATAACGTGCCGATTCGACGAGCTCGAGTTCACAAAGTGGTCGCGCCGTGCGGACGGACGACCACCGACTGGTGCGCGCGATCGACGTAAACACACGGAACGACTGTATCTGGTGTGCGCTGCTGCCAACGCCGCCGGCGTGCTGAAGCCGAACGGAGAGAGACAGAAGGAGAAAGGGTATATAAAGGTGGAGAAGAGATAACGTCGGGCGCGTGCGCCTCGACGCCGCCGGCGAACGTGTACCTATGTGCAAAAGAGCGAGAGAAAGAGAAAAGTGGACGAGCGCCAGCAGGTGAACGATGAAGAGAAGGAAGAACGAGAGAAAAGAGGGACTTGATACGCCGAGTTTAGTGGTTGTTTTATAGCGAAGATCGGTAAAGAGATCGGTAGAGATCGGTATATATCGGTAGGGCTGGGGTGCGCCAATACACCTACACACCGCACGTTTATCATTTCCTTTTTATTCGATGCTTTTTATTTCTCATTTTCACCCGATCTCGCGGCTTCGCAACAGTATATATATATGACATCTAGGTGTAATATTGTGGCTATGCATGAACTTGGTAGGTATACAGCTAAGCTGTTGTTATACATTTTCGTAGATGGAAAGACGGCGCGCACATTTATATGAAGCACAGGGAAGAGCATACAAGTCCCCGCGGGCCTTGCGAACGAAACAATGGCTATCTACTGGCTCTGCCGCTCTTTGGAGCTTGTGCGTGAGCGCTGGCTCTTACATTGGACGTGTTTTGTACATTATATAGTTGGCAGGAAGTATTATACCCGCTGGTGGGTGTGTCCGAAAGAATTTTTTTTCCTTTTTTAATTTTGGTTTCGTAAATTATATCTGTGTTGGTTTTTTCATGCGTGGCAAAAAGACGCGTAACAAGTTTGGGTTTTTATTTTTTATTTTCACGTGGATTAATTTTTAAGAAATATTAAATTAAAAGGACAATTATGGCACTGTAAAGTAGAAACAGCAACCATGTCTTATATTTGTACTGGAACAAAAAGTATGCACATGTAAATGTTCTGTTATCTCTTTGCCTCCGCTGTTCGATTAATCTACACAATTTTCTTGCCGAAAAAGTAAGACAAGAGCTGTCAAATCTTAAAAATCAGTATTTGCCATAACAGCGTAATAACTCATAGTAATTCTTGAATGCCTGAATACCATTATTATGTGCTTTAAAAATTTAAGAAAGCCTTCGAAAAATATGAAAAATTAGCTTTTTGTTACAGCTGTTCCAATCGAAGTACTACTATTTTTTTCACTATATTCTTTGCAAGGTAAGATGATTCTGATAGACAAAATGGCAAAAAATATAATTGGTCATACGTAGGTATCTGCTTTACAAAACATAATTGTTTTTTAAATCTAATAACAAAATAAAGTCGAAAAGTTACAAAAAGTTAGCGATAGCAGTTGCATGCATTATGTAACCCGAACATGAAAATGTTTAATTTAGTCAAAACTAATTCATACGATCGAGTGCCCCAGTAATGTTTCACATTACTTATCGACGGTTCAGAAAAAGAAAGAAAAAGGGCTAGTACTTACCTTTAATTTTTGTTACAAAACTCATTAACTCTAAAAAAACTTTTCGTTGGAACTTTGTAGTGTCAGCACCACTATTGTATAAACAATATACATGTTACCTTTAGAAAGATTTAGATTTAAAATGTTCTAAATAACTTTTTTTTTTTTTTTTTTAATTTAGAGGTATTTTATTTTCCAGTAAAATCAATAAAACCTTATAATCAAATACGGAACACGTTCATTAATAAATTGATAAATGATATGAAGTCAACAAATAAAAAAAATGTACCATCTGTTATCATTTTGCTCATTCATTGATAAATCCAATTTTTTTAATTTATAGACATTGTCATTCAATCGACATCGAGTCGGATATCTGATCTAAATTTATAAGTAGTCCAATTTTAACGTAATACCAATAGTTTATGATTCATTTGAAATGTAGATATAAATCTAAATGCAAAACCAGACGAATCGCAGTGTTGAAATGCAAATATCAAAGATAAATTTATTAATAAATTATTCAAACATTTGTAGAAATAAGATTCATGCTAAAAATAAAAAAAAATGTACGTACTGAGTACTACAAAATGGCACAAAAAGCGTAAAAACAAGTTATTTTACAATATTATTCTAGCTCAACTTCTTTTTATTCAAACAACTTACGTAAAGCTAGTAATTAATGAAACTAAATTGTGTCACATTAGCACACGTTGAAAATAGGTGACCAAGTAATAAAACCACTGTAGTGTATTAATTATCTCATCTGTCGCCTCACGCGAGTCTAAATATGACCAATTACGCAAAAAATCATCCATTATCTAATTATGTGAAAAAAACCTTCATAAATTACTTTATATAGCTCCAAAATTGGTCTAGTTTTGTACAAAATATAATGTTATTCAGGAAATAATGAGTAATTCAGGAAATAATGAGTAATTATTGAAATATAAAAATTATTTGTGACGTTAAAAGACTCATGAGAGTTTTTTCGTGGAATCGTTGTTATTAACCTCGTTTGGAAGCTCTTAATACCAAAAACTTAATTAAAATATTTTTTCAGCACACAACAAATTATTTTTTGTGGGATCGCTGGTGTATTCAGTATAAATATGTATACCGAATATAGAACCCTAGAGAATAAGGGAGAGTTGATTAATTCGACTATACGTGAAAATTAATTAGACAAATGCATAATCAATACTGTTTTTCAACATTAAAGTTTTGTAGTTGAAATTAGATACCGTAATTTTTTAGTATATATTAGTTCATCAGTGTGCTTTTGAAAAAAAAATTTCTCTAAGTTTACTAAACAATATACTTACTTAAATGTGATTTAAATCGCATGAAAATTTAACACTTTTTTTGGATGAATTACTAATCCTCACTAAAATTTTTGAAGTAATTGATAAGTGACATCTATTGTTACCAGAAAACGATGGGAACGGGATGAGAGAATAAATAAAATCCAACGTTTTTAAATTATTATTTATAATGCTCGTTACATATATACATTATATACGGAGTTCAAAAATTAGATTTTGAATTTTTATGAGTTTGCATGATTCGATACTTGGGTTCATTAAATTTGCATTATCATCCCCTTGCTAACTCTACTACGAATTTTCATTAAAAAAAAAATCACTCATGAAATAGATGGAAACGATTAAATTCTCACGTGTGTCCTAACTTTATGAGACGTTTTCGCAAGTAACTAAGAAAGTGATCAGTATTTATTTTACCATATTTACACTTACGATTCGTATAACTGAATTAATTGGTAAAGCGGTGGTCTCAAGTCTTCATTTCAATTGACTTTAACACTAAAATAGTGTTTATAATATCTAAAGATACGATGATAGCAATAATGCATATTTTTCTACCAATCTCATGATTCACATTTGTTTAAATTATAAGCTATTTGTAAAAAAATTTAAATAGTTTTGATTGATAACACTTACAAACTGATGTAATTTATGAAATAAGTTTTTTGTAAAACTTAAAATAATTATTTATGCAACATATTTACATATGTACATGATCCTGTATGTTTTGGCTTCAACAAAAGTAATGAAGAAACGAAATTACAAGTACGCACTCTTATACGAAATCACAACATGTATGTATATAACTTATGACACTTGAGTCCATGATTGATTTACAATTACTGACTTTTCAAGGACAGTATAAATGTCCTTAATATTAAAAAAAAAAAAAAAAAATCATACGGTACTCCAACAAACGGTACTTTAAAAAAAAAGAAAAATAAAAAATAACCTTTCGTCAGCGTTGTGTAAAAATCTTTTTTTGCTCATCACTTTGACAATACTATTAAAGTCCATAAACCTATTACTAATATAAACCTTTCACGTAACTTTCTTGCGCAATAGATAAATACTGTTGTATACTTTAATGGCAGGTCCAAGTTTTAATCCAATATGAGATACCAGATCGTCTTGTGATAGAGCCATGAATGCATCGCCATCAACATTCTGTAAAAACCATATGATTTCTCAAAGTTATGAACTGTAATTGCAGATGCGCGAAAAGTTTGACGAACCATGTACATCAGGGTGAAAAACTACTTACGTGCTGTCTAAAAATATTTCCAAGGTCTTTGCAGTTGGGCAAACTCTGAACAAACTTGACAACCTCCTCATTGGACCATCTCAGTGGATTAGTAGTCTGTTTTGCAACTACTTTGTTTAATGCACCGCTGTGCTTTGCCCACAACTGCTGTGTATCTGGCGGAGTAGGATTGTACCCTGGATGGTACACAGACTGATATATTTCTGTTCTGAATTGTTTTTCCGGTATATTTAAAGCATAGGCTCGACTGTCGTTGCTTGAGTTGAGAAAAGAAAGATTATTGGATTCGTTTTTATTTTTCCTGCAAAATAAAGTAGTTTCGTTAAACATGAGTGTTACAAAATCAGCAGTATGTAACAACTTCAGTATAAGATAGATGCACCAACCTTTTCTTTCGTTTCCTGGTGCATTCTTCCTCGTCAGATTGACCATCGCTATTATTATGCCATTTGTTCCTGAATCTGTCAGTTATGTACAGTTTTTCGTTTTTATCCGACATATAGTCGACTTCTTGTTTAATATTTTCAGTTTTAATAAGCTTCTCTTCAAATGATGGGAACCGTTTTTCCAATCTTTCCGACTTGTTTCTCTCTACTTTTTCAAACCTATTTCTTTCCACGTTACCTTCATCCTCGAAATCATTTACTTCATGTTTAATATTCAGTCTGTCCTTCATCGTCTTAGGTCTGGCAACATTCTGAGGTGAGTAGGGGCAACCTGATGCTGAATTATGTGTTGCAAACTTGGGACCTTTTACGTGTCCAATGCCTCGACAGCCAAAGGTACCACATTCCGGACGATTAGTGAGATTGTCTTGAGCTAATCAATGTTTATTTCGTTATTCATAAAATATTCAACTTTTTTTTGTTTTCAATTCAATCAATGCAACAGTTACTCACTTATTGGAGGCTCTAATGGGTGGCCAGTCTTGGAGCACCATCCCATAGGATGGATATCCGGCGAGTCATCATCGACCCAATAGCCATGACTTTCGGGCCAACCATCAAACCTGATTTTCAACCTGCCAAAAAATAGGTACTTGAAGGATTCCTTGTTCGATTTTATTCAAAAACTATATTTTTGGATAACTTACAAGTGATCCTTGACATCTTCAACAGTGGTTACACGGATAAGCTGAGGCAGTCTCTTGTCGACGGCTTCAAGCTTCATGCCACGTTTAAATCCACAGGGCGTTCGTTGTTTGAACGCTCTGGCTGGCGCCGCAATGGAATTGGTGGACTTTAAATACTCGTCCCACGAAAATGCTTTGGCGTCTTTATAATCTGCAAAGAAATTTACTCGTCAAGTTTACCTAGCACAAGTATCATTAGCAGATACCTTTATCAAGTATCCTGTAATTTTAATTCAAATAGAGGTGTGATAAAACAATTGGATGATACATACTAGGCGCGGATATTTTTTTATTTTTGTTATCCGACTTACAATTAGGTGGTGTCAAGCTCCGACCATTATGGTGGCACCAACCAACTGGGTGGATATAAGGAGAGCTGACATCCGCCCAATAGTCGTATATATCGTCCCAAGAGTCAAAGTGTACAAGTATCCTCGAATCTAAAACATCGGCTACACTTGCCACGCACACAAGAGATGAGTGCTTGCGATCTACAGCCTCGAGCTTCATACCAACGCGAAAACCAGTAAGAACCGTTGCCTGGAAATACATTAATTCAAATAAATTGATTAAAATTCTTAATGTATAAATTGTTAATTCAACTCTAGAAGAGCTTACGTTTTTGTTGGCAAACATAGTCTTTGGAGCTGCTTGGGCTTTGCAAGTTTTAAGATAAGTGTTCCAATTAAAGTTACTTTGATTATATCCTTTTGGAGGATGTATCTGCCGACCATTTTTTTCAGCCCAGCCGACTGGAAATATATCCATACAATCAGCATTAACCCAAAAATCAAAATTTTCGGGATAGCCGTCAAAGTGAAGCCGAATACGGTAACCAATTACTTCGGCGATTGACAAGACGCAGTAATCTGATGGATGATTGGGATCTATGCCTTCTAATTTCATTCCCACTTTAAAGTTGTTTTTTCCCTCAGGAAAAGCATCTTTGAACAATTTTGTAGGTGCCGCTTTGGCCTTGGTGAATTCCAGGTACTTTAACCACGAGAATTTGTTCTTTCCAGTCAGCCAGGGATACTTGGCTTCAGATTCTTCTGGGCTTTCTTCATCTATCATAGATGTGTTTGTATCTTTTGTATCTTCATCAGATATGGACTTTTCTTTCATATGAAATTTATCAAACTTTTCATCGCTGTCTCTTAACTTCTCGTGTGAATATTTTAACTTTGAATTAGATACTTTTGCTGCCTTCTCTTCTTCTTCCTTTGAAGCTTGCTCGAGCAACTTTTTGCGTTTTTTCTTAGCACGTATCTCTTGCCTGGTAAAAAAAGAGGAAATTAAAAAAACAAATTTCTAATTTACTGAATTGGTAGTTTTTTGAGCATGAAATAAGCTTACTTCGATTCCTTGTCTTTGCGTATTTTTTGCTGCTTCATTTCGATATACTGAGCACAGTCTGAACTGCAGGCAACGTGATTGTAAAAGTCAGAAATCGGTCCGTGGCAACCGCAGCCTTGACAATGACAAAAAGTTTTGTCGTCCTGCGTGGGATTTTGCGACTTACTTTCCTCCGTTTTAACTATCGTTGACGTGCCCGACTTGGAATTCTGGGTCAAGTAAACATTTTCTTTGTCACCAAAATTTTTGCTTTTGCCTTTTTTGTCATCCTCCAAACATTGTACATATCCAAATTCATTCATACGAAACTACAGAAAATCAATATTTTGCATTAAAAATCCTCACTTGCAAGAATTTTCACTCACAAATTAAAAGCAATATAGGGTGTTTAAAAAAAATTTTACCTTAAGCGAAGTTCCAATCAAGGTGCCAATACCATCGTCCCAGTGCAAAATCTGAGAAGTTTCTTCTGGATACGTAATGTCGCTCTTCTTTTGGTCTCTAGCATCATCGCTACTGCTCTTTCCATTTACTCTTTCGATTTTCTCTATCACTTCGACTCCGTTTCGATTTAATCCCCTAACAACTTCGATCTTAACTTCATCGGACATCGAGAGACGTTTCATCCGCTTATCTTCGCTAGGAACAACTTTAATCAGCGTGATATCGTCGTCACTTTCTTTGTCCTTTCTTTTGTCCTTCTCGTGCTCGGACTCTGAACTATTTAGAGCATAGTTGGACACGTCGACTACGTTAAGATCCTGGTTGGTCTTGGTAAAGCTCTGTTTTCTCATGCGTTTCTCGCTGCGTAGGATATTGCTGGTCGGTCTCTTTCGCTTCTCAGAAGAATTGGAGATTGATTCGTCTTTCTTCGGGATCGGCGTGATCACGGCAGAATCCGGGTTTTCGTTGATTTTTACACCATCAGTAGAACTGTGGCCGGTTTTCGATGCGTTAATCAAACTCATATTTGCGATCGGATGAAGCGGCGGTGGGTTCGTCGTGCCGTTTGATGTTTTGGATTCACGTAAAACTAAAATGATACGGATTGTTACGAACGAGAGATTGTGACATTTTAAAATTGAACGTTCAAGACAAAGTTATGCAAAAAATGTTTGTTTCAACAAAAAGTTTAGGATAAGATAGTTTGAGTTTAAGATACAATTATGCAGCTAGTGTACCTGTTATTGCATTTTTTGGTTCATTGCTGGCCTGCCCATTATTCAATTTTAAAGTAAAATTTGATTTTATATTTATATTTTGCTTAGAGGCAGCTGGGATACTCGGCTGATTGATGCTGACTGGCAATAAAAGATTAGTCATATGTTTAGGAGGTGGACTTTGTAAGCTACTCGAGGTGCTGCTTGTCGGTATTTGTGAATACACTGGAGCAAATACCACTTTTTGCTTTATGTTCTGAGCTGCATTTAGGGGCCCTGCTTTCAATACAGAATAAAATATTTATTATATCTTTGCAAAATTGAACATCATTTTTAAGAGTATATGAAACAATTAACAGCAGAACCATTTATTTTATGATTTAAAAATCATCACAATAAAAATGACAAACATTCAGATTGCAGAAACTATTGTCTAAGGTGAGAAGTATTCAAAAGTATTTGAATAAAAGCAAACAGTTAATACTTATTGTAATCCATGCTTCTTAAGGACTCAGAGCAAACATTAGTGCCAATTTTCGCGCAAGTATCAAAATCTTACCTGGAGACAGAAGTACTGAATCTTGTGGTTTGGGTTTTATAATGGTGTGTAGATAAGTCACTTTTGGTTTATTTCCAGCTTGATTTTGAGCCTGAGCTTCTGAAATACCAATTGGCATTATCTGGGCATTGGAGGCATTTGTCTTGCGTATTAAAATATTTTTCTCAGCCTGAGATGCAGATGGTGAAGTTACTGGATTGACTTGTCTTCGAATAGTAAACAATTGTGCTGGGATTTGGGTTGAACTGCTTTGAGCAATACCCTGGAGTAAGATCTACAACAGAAAATAAATAATCAAAACTACAGTACTTACAAAGTATAAATAAACATGTCAATTACTTTAAATATTTTCTATTTATGTATCATATATGTGGCTTTGTCTTTAAACTTGATTTAAAACGTAGTTTTTCCGAAGGTTAATTTTGGTCTATATTAATTTGTTGATGATTTAACGTTGATAAACACAAAAACCAACAAAGTTTACTTTTTGAGTTGAAGTTTGCAACTGCAGGTTACATAAATACGTGACTTTATTAAAACGATTATACTCAAGATTTATTTCACAGCGTCTCAATCACGTAATTAGTTAAAAATAAAGTCACAGATAAAAAAACTTTCGGAAACGGTGTTGGAAAAAAAAAAAGAAAAAATTAACAACGAGTGTAAGGTGATCTCAAAGTCTTGTGTTATATAGATAAGTATGAGCTGTTATAGGTACTAAGTAAGTTATCTTTGTGGTAGTGCCTATGTATAGATGTGGCACACAATTCAAATCATTAAAGATAACATTGATCAAAATGAAACAAATCGCGACGAGTTGGTTGCGTTTTTTTCTCTTCAAAAAATAGCACGATAGACCCAAAAGCGCACAATATAAACTACCGTGACTCTGTGAAAAACTACTTTTAAAACACTCGCTCGAATAACTACATATTAAAAAAAAAAAAAAAAAAAAAAAAAAAAACTGCGCGACGATCGGAAAAGTTATATTAAAATTATATAACATTATCTTTGATATCACAGAGAGCTTGATACGCACATAAATAAAGTATTGAAAACTAGGTTAAAAGCAAACACCATGTAATGCACTTGGAAGCAGTTTTTTTCTCCTTCGCGACGCGCGTACCGTGCATCATCGGCCAGCTATGCAAAAACGAAAGCAAATTTAATCAACGCCGTGTAAAACTCTCGGCTCTCTCGTTCTCGCACCATTTGAAAGTATAAAAAAAAAAAAACACACAATTTTGCCAAAACAAAACTCAAAAAGCGCAACGCGAAAAAGTTGCTAAAATTGAATACTTGGAAGTTATTGTGACAAGTCAAATGAAATCCATCGAAAATAACGTCGCACTTTAATAGTATACGCGATTGCAAAGACACAAATTCAGGCACACACAAACACGAGAGTGCACAAAATGTGTATACGTATGTGTATATACACGCTCAATGTGTAACATTTTAAAGGCAACGACGACGAAACAACAAACACAAATACCCAGTACTTACTATGGTACCTAATAAGCAAGCACTCGAGAAGTACACGTTATATTAATCATCTACGGTATGTTTACTCGTCTCATCTCTTTACATAACTAAACAAACGTCTTATTAAAAAGAGCGCAAAGCGTTACATTACCGTCAAAGTCTTATTTGTTTTAAGCGTTATTAAATAAAAAAAAAAAAAAAAGCAAAGAAAAACACAATTTCCTAACCAGGTTTCTCTTTGACGCGTCCTAATATTCTATACACCCCATTATCGAGCAAAATAACAATATTTACTTAAACCACCAGCGAGACGCTATTAGACTGCACGAAACTATGCAAATAAATTCATACCTATTTTAGAGTGCGATTCGCACGTTCAACTCGACACGGCGGTGCGACTATACTCGTACTCACTCGCGTTGGTATACACATTACGACGTTATTCATAGTAAATACACGACGGAGTCGAAAAATCGGAGTTAAGCCGAATAACTCAAGTAACGAGCTGATGGGCACGAAGCAAGTTCCATTTTAACACTCAACTCTCCCCCGGTCACTGTTTTACACCGAAGTGGAGACCGAGAAAGAGATACCTATGCTTTATAACAAAGTAGAGAAAGGTATATATAGGTATGTATACGAGTAAATACACACGAAAGACCACGCACATGAAGATAAAGGGGCCCGTCTTTCGTGTTCTACACACGGGTCGTATGGAGTAGGTACTAGGTACACTGTACAGAGAGCCAGTATTGCCAGTAACTCAGATACGTAGGCAATATATACACGTTGCCAATAAAATGTAAAGGCCTGATGCCAACAACCCATACACGCTTACGCATTGACAATACTGTAACGTATGCAACCTTTGTACGTATACACACGAAGAAGTGCGCGCGCACGTTGTACAAAACAACGCGGGGCTATACGGAGAGAAATACAAGAGAGTCGGAACCGCGTGGGCGTACGGATATATATATTATACTTATTCTTCATGCAGATAAGGCAATGGTATCGGTGATCCAAAAGGGACGCAAGCTCGGCAATTGTGATACAGAGAAGAGAACAAACATTACGGATAGTTATATTTTTAGGTAAACGTATGACACACAAAATGCAACGGATCTACCTGATGGTCGAAGGCCGGAGCGATCTGTTGGGGTTGTTGGTGCTGCGGCGATTGGGCCTGGACGACCGGGTGCGCCTGTGCGGAGCTCGTAACGATACAGCTGCCGCCGTTGCCGGTCACGCTCGTCGTCGTAGTCGCCGGTTGGATGTACAGCATGGACATAACGCGGGTCGAGGGATCCTCGAGCACCGCAGCCCCGCTGGCCAAACCCGTGCCACCGATCAGGTTGTTCAGGGCTATCGGACTGCCCGCTGTCACGATACCGATCGTCGCGGGACCGCACTCGGCCGGCTGAAGGCGCTTTTTACTCGTGTCCTCGATCAAGACCTCCTCCATTCTGAAACGAGACATGCAAATTGTTAGATTTTTTATTTTTGTTTGAGGGTATGGGATCGGTTGTTACTTCGATTCATCACAAGCGACTCTGGGCCTGAAATTATACCGTTGCATCCTCATTCGAGTGACACTTGCATCGTTGGATCGCCAAAACGATTGTTTGTCTCGGATCTACAATGTTGTACACAATCTACTTCATTTTCAATCACAAACATCATTGAGTATGCAACAACCAGCCTCCCTGGAACATTTCCTCCCCATGCTCATACGGAGTAACGTAAATATACGTGCAAAAAAAAAAAAAAAAAGTCGTACTAATCAAATTACAGCTGCCAGCGCGTATGGAGCGCGAAAAAGAAAAGACGCCCACATCGCAGGTATCGCAGACATTCGGAGAGCGGGTCTTCTCTTTGGGCTGCTGCACGAGAATGAGTAATTGGTCGGAAAAATCGATGAGCCGGAGATCTCATGAGCGATAAAGCAACGGAGTGCTGCCCTGTTTATGGTGTATAGTTTACGTATAAGTGGCGTTCATTCGCTTGAAAGTTATTTCGCATGCGTGTTGGTAGGTATACTCATCACGAACGTATACATATACGCCACGGGGGCACGTAGGGATCGATAAAACATCACACACCCACCGCACTTCAACTCTTACACACGCGCGCGAGCGAGCATGGCTTTGTTGTACTTCGTTGTTTGAGAATAAGAGGGAAGAAGAAGTAGAGAGATCGAGTGACGCGAAAGGGGAGGCCGCGTTTGCCTATGGTCTCTCTCTTCAGCTGATACATGCATGTTTCCGTGCGTCGCGAGTGGTTCATCAAGTGTATAATTTTATACCTATAAGTACTCGCGAAGGGCTACAAAAAAAAAAAAAAAAAAGAAAAAGAAAAAACACGGACGAGGGGACGTTTGAATTTTGCCGCGCTCTTCGCAAACTCCATCTCCCTCTCTCTCTCTCTCTCCTCTTCCCCGTAGAAGGTGCAACTTATTATTTGTTCTGGCCTTGCAATGACATTCGATACTGTCTTTTCACCCGCGAGTTGGTACATTTTTTTTTTCTTCCTCCAAACCAAAACCGTAATTTTTACGTGTATATCCTGAGGTCGAAAACTTTGTCCCATCCGCGCGCGAGCGAAAGCTTCTTTGCGAGTCGATCGAAGCGGTAAGTATGGTTTGCCACCCGGTGGGGTATCACAAGAGCTGTGGGAAACAAAAGTAGATGGTGGTGTACGCACCGATCGGGCGGATCCACGGCACCGCTGTGTCCATCGCAGTGGTGTGTCTATTTTCACGCAGAACCGATGAGGATGTTCGGTTTGATTGGTCGCGCGTCGATGGCGGTGGTTACCGCGAAAATTTCCCGGAAAACCTGCGTGCCGTGAGATGGTTGCGACGCCGCGGGGGGACTGTAGTGTGCAACATGTATATACGTCATAGCCAGCTAAACGCCGTGCGATGTTGCCGATGTGGTGGTGTACATACAGGGGAGATATGAGAGAATTTAACGAAGACGCGCGAAATTCAAACGGCAAATTGTTGATGGGAATCGTGCGAGAGTTCGCGAGTGGAGCCTCATGTACATACAAGAAGATAACTTGTTGTTTGGATCTTGGCAAGAATGCAAGGGTGGATAAGGTTTTTCATCTTCCATTGTTCAATAGTTTGCTGTTGTGTGATTACGAAACGACTATATGAATCTTGAGGTTTTCATGTCCCACGGCTTTCGACCTTTTTTTCACGGCAGTGAGTCGTTTCTCCCCTACATGGAAATAATAGAACACTAGCCACATGTGCATGGAGTGCGGTACTGCGGTAGCACGTACATTATTTTCATGCAATATATGTTGCAATCGAAAAGCTCGTCGTAGATGGCGCTCGGATGGGTTGTATACCTGTAACTCGGATAAAAAATGCAGCAAAGTTTCGTCTCCGCATCTCGTCTCGTTTCGGACGTGAAGCGAAAAAAAAAAACACTACCTACATAGGTCTAAGTTACTCACGTTCAACCCCCAAACTCAAGATTTTTAATGACCCGAGCCGCTGTATGTGTACAACAGACAATGAGATCTATAGATTCATCCAAGTTTTGTATTATTGATTCAATGTTTGTAAATTTGCACAGGGAGAACAAAGTAGGTTCATTTGGGCTGCAGTTGGCAAAACAAAAATGCTTTCATGCTTCTGAAATTCTTTCAGTTTTGTTAAGTACTATTTTTACATAAATTCAACGTGCACATCGTCCGATCATTATCGAGTTTTATGTTTACTTTTTTTACTTAAAAAATTTAAATAAAGCAATTGCGCGCTTCAATATTTACAAATATTGAGAAAGATTGTAACAATAAACATTCAACATCGTATCAATAAAATGTCACTGAGAGGGTATTACATGTGCGCACGATAAGACTTTAGATGAAATATTTTTGTACCATCAACCAAGTGTAAGTTAACCTTTCGATGATGCTTCCGTTGCACTTTACGAATTAAAATCACGTAGTGCGGGTGATACGCGAACGAATTGCCAAGTGTGTTAAGTACTTTACCACGTAGATATTTCGAACATGATCGGGGCTCCTCAAAACAAGGTTAACTTAATCACTGTTTCAGCTAACTTGAAGACTAATAAAATTCTGCCAAGTACAGGAAAAACAATACCATGTCAAGTTTTGGCAATTATCGTGGGTCAATGTTCAAATGTATGCATGTAATGAGAGCCATACAATGTTCATATAAACAACGTATAAGACAACAAAAAAAGATCGAGGAAAACATGAGATTAATAAAGCAGATAGCAGAATTGTACTTACAACGACAAAATTGATCCTTCTTGAGCGTGTATTTCGAATACAACTTAATATGAACAAATGAAAAAACTCTACGAGTAAAGAAACGTGAACACTGCCGAAACAGTAAAGGCACCGTTTTTATGAAGCAGTCACGCCAAGCATTTGTACGAAAGGTATTTTTCCACTTTCCATGCAGCTACCAATAGGAGTAACGAACGTATAGCGAAGTCGTAATTTTTTTCCAGAGCAGACGATTCTTAGCATTACTCATTGCTCATATATACATTGGGCTAATGTGAAATGGTGATAAAACTAATTGCCATCAGCCATTTGAATAGATATAACCGTTTTTTTATAATTTTGTATTTCTATGTTGCTTACGTTTAAAAATTTAATTTGCTTTATAATTGAGCACGTCTCAGTATTTCCTGTAACATCTTAATTTTCTTCAGATGTCAACACGTTTAATTTGATTAAATTGCTGTACTTAAGATCAAAGTTTGTTTTAAGAACTATTTTCAACGTTTCACGCAGAAACGTAATGGGCGCTCTTAGGTTATAAATGAGAAAATAAATTTTGAACAGACGTTTTCATGAGAAATAGAAGCAGGATTTTATCTCGTCATGATAAAATTAACTAAACAGAGCGTAACCAGAGATTTCAATAGTTTAAATCACTTGCGTGAACGTCAACTTAAAAGTATGGTAGTAAGGATGACTCCTGTAAACAATTAGATTAAAGAAATTCGCCACCGTGTAAACATAATTAAAAATATTTTGTAACTTACGGATTAACCATCTATAGGAACGCCTATCACTTGCAGTTCTCGACAAACAAATGAAAAAAAGAAGCGACGAAGAATGATGCCTTCCAAATCTTTGGAGCACTCTGTATACAGTGTTGCCACAATGATGTCCCAAAATTTAATGCACGGCTCTCTTTTGAGGGACGCGTGGTTAACGACTTAAAGTCATCGTTCAAGTTGCAGCCGCCGAGTACCGAATTTCCTCTCTTCCTGCTGCAAAATTGTCATAAGTAACTCATTATTTTTCAACCAGCGTGCTTACATGTGCCAACAATTTAAAAAAATACTAATAATGAAATTTAGAGAAGAGATTATTTTTTAATTTTGTGGGCGATGTTCTGTCATCTGCAAGATGCAAGGCACGCAAAAAGTCTCTAGAAATCACTAGCCGCGCACATGCTCACATGCTCAGTTGTGTCAATATTTCCAAGGTTTTAACTTCACATTTTTAAGACACAGAAATCAGACAAGAATCTTAAATAATGATACAAAAAGTGTAAAATGAACTCAAATTGATTAAAATTGTTCATTACAAATTTAAAAAGGACATGTAAAAAAAATGTTTTCCAGAGAGACAGGTATATATTATACACACCCGGATGTGTATACAGAGTGTGCGGTACCAAGAACTACACGTGTAGTATAGCGTATAGCTGTTCCGGCGAAAAGTGAACGATCCCAGCCCAAGAGGAAACACTCAAAATCTCTACGGTCTCGTACAACTTTAAGTTTCACTGGTCGAAAAACTACGCCCAAATTCGATATTTCACCACAAGGAAATGATACGCTTTTCACGTATTTCCCTATGATGCCCAAAATCGCTTCTTCTTTGAAGCGCAAACTTTTCTTTTCTATCTATAGTAAAAAATACTCCTACGACACTCATCTATCCCCACTCACGGTACGTACAAAAGTATGCTACCCACTCGTTCTCAAAAGCCATATTCGTATGAGTGTAACAAAATGTAATATAAATATATCATCACTTACATGCAAGATCTCGGCTACTGTTATCTCCGTCTTCTTTTGAAACTTGTGCGGTTTTACCCTCACCGAGCCTTCGGGCTTTTCACTGTTTCAAAGCAAACGTTTTTTTGCGCTTACTACACAATTAAGAGTTTTCACTCAGTTTTCGAACGCAACTCGCAAAAAACACCCTAATGCAAGTCCACGCGAGAAGCCGGTATACCTGCCCGATTGCATCTAGAACAAAGAAAAAACAAAATAATATAGTACAGGAGCCAAAGAATACGTAGCGCAATAGGACAACTTTAAACTTTAAACCTACTTGGCTGCAAATGATACAATAATATAAGTGGGGTAACGGTAGGAGTATAGGATCGATGCCCGCGATCAACAATTTCCACCGCAAAGCAAAAACTGCAATGCATTCGTTGCACGACTTATACTTGCGTGCCTATAAGTACCTACTGATTCTCACGTGCGTGACTGCTCTTTCGGCTTTTTCTTCTTCGAGGCGCGCTTTGACGAAAACAAGTAAAACAAAGTAGTTTCGCACGCACTACACAATATAACGTCGTCACAATCACTGGCAATCTTTCACGTTTTACGCGTTGTCAGACACATAACATTGATTACACCGTTACTAGGTACATCCCTTGAAATTGTCATAGTCGTTCCTTCGTTGGGTGGTAAGTGACTGAATGGTGTTTTTCATCGGTGATCGCGCAAAATATGTGCACTACTCTCGGCTAGCTCAGATCAGATAACTAATTGGGCTCGGTGTATTGGTATTTTTACGTGCGTGTACAATGTACATGCGCGCGCCGCGCGCGTGTCACTGATTTCTGAATAACCCGAATGCGCATGCGTTAACGCTGAGCCAGAAATGGAGAAATGAGAGAAAACTGAAAAGCACGAAACTGGCGGATAAGTGGGCGGAGCGCGGTAAGCCCGGGATCAAGCAAACCTAACAAAAGAGATGGGAAGCATGGAAGAATGAGAGAAAACTGCATGGTAAAACTGGTATTAGTCAGAGTACTTACACAAAAGGAAAAAATGAAAGCGATGAGTAATTGTATATTCCACCTAAGATGTTGTACATACACCGACACGCGCACAAAAACGATGGCTTATTTTAATACTACCTGTATTTTGTCGCATATATGTACCACTCTAAGACTATGTATTATTATACATGTATATATTAGTCGTACAAATAGTAATGTAGAAAACTTATGTAAAATAATACATGCCTGTAAATTAATCTTTATGCCAATAAAAACACAATTACTATTGTTCGTGTATTATCTGTGTGCGTCGAGTGCGACAGAAATGACAGAAATGGGTTTGGCTGCTTTTCATCCTTTTTCATTCCCAGATCTTGGTACTTTCTCATTCCCGAGAAACTTTTAATCTGTGTTATTTATATTGCTTCTGATGTCAAAGTTTTCTGATAAAATATGTATATTGTACCTACATATTGTTGGCTGAACAATTTGAGAACGAGATGAATATTATGAGGGAGTGAGTCGAGGCTTCATATGTTGATTGCTACTCTTTTTGTTATATGAAACTCAAATGTAGAAGCTAGAGTCGATGATACGAATCATATGCTCTACGTTAAACTATATATCTTGAACTTGATTTAATTCATGAAACAACAAAAAGAATCCTTTATGCACAAAACACATGGTTGTAGAATCTGTATCTAGCCCCTTTCTTTTTTTGTTATTTTGTCATAATAGAAGACATTTTATGTACAGAATACAAGTGCCACTACTTACGCTCTTATCATAGATACGATAAAAATTAAACAGTCTAAAAATTGTCAAAATGTTAATCGTATATTATCTTTGCTGAGCTTTCTTTATTTTCCCCCAAAATGGCAGAGCCAATCAGAGACTTTCAGACGCTTCAGCCAGTCCGATTCGGGCTATCGGGCTTCGACGTTTTTTTTGTTCAGGCAATCGCGTGATCGGGATTTATCGTTGGCCCTCACTCTTGTATGTAAAATCGACCTCCTATATATTAATTAGACTTTTGGAAGTAGATTTTTAAGTAACACAAACTGTAAACTTGCCGCAAACAGCACAAACAGTGTTAACTTTTTGTTTTCCATGTACAGAATTTGTTGCGGCTGGTTTATAATTAATAAAATGGCTCTACTGTAAATGGTAATAATTTATTTGATCAGCGCCATCTAGCGTTACGGATTTCTAAACTAAAAAGTAGCCCTAAAATTCTCAAGGAGAGTTTTAGGCATTTTTGGCTATAGAGCCATTTAATCAATTATAAACCAGCCGCAATTACTCTTATAAGTACAAAATAAAGATTGACTTTGTCTGCTTTATTGGCGGCAAGTTTACAATATATCTTTTACCAAAAAGTATAAATATAAAAAAATCAATATTCCGGTAGAAAATAAATTGCAAATTTGCCGCAAATAGCATAAACAGCGTTAACTTTTTATTTTGTATCTAGTTTAAGAGTGGCGGCTGGTTTATAATTTATCTTTTACCCAAATATCGACTTTATATATATTTATGCTTTTGGGTAACAGATAAATTACAAAGTTGCCGCAAACAGCAGATCTACTGTCAATTTTTTATTTTATACTTATAAAATCAATTGCGGCTGGTTTATAATTGATTAAATGATACTACTGTAATAAGTATGACTAATTTTTTTGATCAGCGCCATCTAGCGTTGCGAATTTCTGAGCTAAAAAGTGGCCCTAGAATTCTGAAGGAGTGCTTTAGCGCTTAGAGACACTTAGCCTATTATAAGCCAGCCGCAACTCATTTTGTAGCTATAAAATAAAAAAATAATTATACATGTGTTTTTGGCGGCANTACTGAAGTAATACATGAACATAAATATATAAGTGCTTTTATAAATAAATTAGATAATTATAAATATTTATTGTAGATTTGGCTGTGTACTGAGATTATAAACCAGCCGCAACTCGTATTGTAGCTATAAAATAAAAAAATAACAGTATATGTGTTTTTGGCGGCAAGTTAACAATCTATTTTTTACTCGAAAATTTATCTTCAAAAGTATAAATACATAGGACGTCAATTTTTGATAGAAAATAGATTGTTAAGTTGCCGCCAAAAACACATGTATAATTATTTTTTCATTTTATAGCTACAAAATGAGTTGCGGCTGGTTTATAATAGGCTAAGTGTCTCTAAGCGCTAAAGCTCTCCTTCAAAATTCTAGGGCCACTTTTTAGTTCAGAAATTCGCAACGCTAGATGGCGCTGTTCAAAAAAATTGTTGCTACTTACTACAGTAGTGTCATAAAATTAGTTATAAACCAGCCGCAATCAATATTGTAAGTACAAAATAAAAAGTTAACGTTATTTGTTTTATTTGCGGCAAGTTTGCAACTAATTTTTTACCTGAAAGTATAAATATGTAGGAGGTCAATATTCAGGTAGAAGATAAATTACATAGTTGCCGCAAACAGCACATCTACTGTCAGTTTTTTATTTTATACTTATAAAATCAATTGCGGCTGGTTTATAATTGATTAAATGATACTACTGTAATAAGTATGACTAATTTTTTTGATCAGCGCCATCTAGCGTTGCGAATTTCTGAGCTAAAAAGTGGCCCTAGAATTCTGAAGGAGTGCTTTAGCGCTTAGAGACACTTAGCCTATTATAAACCAGCCGCAACTCATTTTGTAGCTATAAAATAAAAAAATAATTATACATGTGTTTTTGGCGGCAAGTTAACTATCTATTTTCTACCAAAAATTTGACCTCCTATGTATTTATACTTTTGAAGATTAATTTTCGAGTAAAAGATAGATNTTGGCGGCAAGTTAACAATATATTTTGTACCAAAAATTAATCTACAAAAGTATAAATACATAGGAGGTCAAATTTTTGGTAGAAAATAGATAGTTAACTTGCCGCCAAAAACACATGTATAATTATTTTTTTATTTTATAGCTACAAAATGAGTTGCGGCTGGTTTATAATAGGCTAAGTGTCTCTAAGCGCTAAAGCACTCCTTCAGAATTCTAGGGCCACTTTTTAGCTCAGAAATTCGCAACGCTAGATGGCGCTGATCAAAAAAATTAGTCATACTTATTACAGTAGTATCATTTAATCAATTATAAACCAGCCGCAATTGATTTTATAAGTATAAAATAAAAAATTGACAGTAGATCTGCTGTTTGCGGCAACTTTGTAATTTATCTGTTACCCAAAAGCATAAATATATATAAAGTCGATATTTGGGTAAAAGATAAATTATAAACCAGCCGCCACTCTTAAACTAGATACAAAATAAAAAGTTAACGCTGTTTATGCTATTTGCGGCAAGTTTACAGTCTTCAAAAGTATAAATATACAGGAGGTCGATTTTAGGGTAAAAGACAAATTGTAAAATAGCCTATAGTAACTTGTACCAGTGAAATACCCTAGCCTAATAACTTTTACTAGTGCATTTCTAAAAAAAGAAACATGGTACTTTTTTAGTTTGGAATCAGTCTCGCTAGGGATCATTGTTTCTATTATATGTTCAGCTAGGTCCCTGCAATGCCCTGCATATTGACGGATGATTAAGTACTTATGGTATATTATCGACGATTCCGCAACTTATTGTCGATCGTCAGTACAGCAGTTCGCCTGATAGCCCGCGAGGTAAGTGATGCCACAGAGAGATGTGAATATGTGATGCTGATTTGCTGAATGTCAATGTATAAACATGCGCAGGCAAGCACATGTACATGTTTGACATGTTACATGTAGGGTGTAGGGAATGTTTATACTAGTTCCAAAATACAAACATAGAAGAGGACATCAGACTATCAGAGAGGGAGAGAGGAAGAGGAGAAAGTTGCTGCTCTCCAAAACAGAGTGTGAAACCTTCAGTCAGATATATTATATATACTTAATAAGTATTAGCTTTGCACATTTTGCAGGCTTGTGAACTTGTGAAGTGGCAACTGTTGAAATGTCATTTGGATAAGCACGCACATATAAAGAATATTGCCCTCTGTTCATTAAGAGTGTGTCGTCGATGTTTAAATAAAAGGTAATACCTTACAACACCATACTTCTTTCTCGCGATTAAATAATAGTACATATTAAGTATTACGTAGTGTCTATGTAATGTATTTTATTACGACGGGAGTCCATCTTTTAATGTACTTGGAAGAATAGATACGTATATATACGTTTAACGTTCCAACTAGGCATTTTCTTTGTGTACGTCTTATTTTTCCTTCAATGTCCTACTTATTTATTTTTGACACCCTTACTGAGGGCTCAATTGTTGACACAGCATAAATCTATATTTAAAATCAGTTTTCACAGTTTTATTTGCGTATGTAACAATCGTATGTTTACGTGTTAGTGTTGTGTCAACATGTCATGCACGTTTTGTTATGTATTATGACAACACCTATGCGATTTTCTTAAAACGTGAGCAAATTGGGAACCTCGAATCTTTTTATTTGAGAAGTGTCATTTCCGATCTATATAACTTCTAGAGTTAGTCTCACAAAGGCTTTGTGTCACTTGCCCTTTTTTTTTAAGGTCAAAACAATTTTCTTAGTTATAATTAATAATCAAATTTTTAACAGCTGCTCCAGTGATAAAATGCCACCAAGAGTATTGTGATTGATCAAGTTGTATCATTTAGTTGGATAACTGACAGCTGACATTCAAAATGGGAAATGCATTTAGTAATGGTCAAGACAATGATGAATTAGTGGACAATCTTGTAGAGGGTGGTTACATCAGGACCAAAAAAGTCCAGCAGGTCTTCCGTGCTATAGACAGAGGTGATTATTTCCTATCGAGTCACAGAGATGATGCCTACAAAGACTTTGCTTGGAAGCATGGCAACATACACTTGTCAGCTCCATGTATTTATTGCGAAGTTATGGAAGAGCTGTCTTTACAGCCTGGTCTAAGTTTTTTAAATCTTGGTTCAGGAACTGGTTATTTCAGCACAATGGCTGGTTTGTTGCTAAGTAAGTATATAAATGCACTATAATACATATAAAAGATGTAAAGAGTATTTATTTCTATAAAATATTTTACGCTAATTTTTATCCATTTAATGATCCAATTGAATGCACTGTTTATTTAATAACAGCAGTTTTGATAGCTCAGCAAACAAAATGTAACTCATGATTATCTTATATTTTCAGCCCAAAATGGTATTAATCACGGTATTGAATTGCACGAAGATTGTATTAAATATGCTTATGATAGGCTTGAAGAGTTTAAACAAAAATCTCTAGCCATGGATGAATTTGATTTCTGTGAACCAATTTTTATTCAAGGTACGTTGCAAAACATAAAGAATTGCAATAAAATTGTTTCATATATATTCTATTGAAAAAAATGTCTTAACTTTATCACAAGAATTTCATACATTTACTTTGTCTTTTCACAGGAAATTGCTTAAATGTCACACATCCTAGAAGATATGACAGAGTTTACTGTGGTGCAACTTGTCCAGAGTCTCATGAGGCTATGATTAAGGAGTTTGTGAAAGTCGGTGGCATTCTAGTCATGCCCTACAATGATTTTTTAGTAAAAACTAAAAGAATAGATGAAAACACTTGGGAGCAAGTTTCCCTACTGCCAGTATCATTTGCCACTTTAGTTGTACCAACGACCAATGAAGTTGCCTGCCAATTACGTAAGCTAATTAAAATTTTTTATCGTTATCCGAGTACAATTCATCTCTACATTGATGAACAGTATGTTGAATCCACATTGTTTCTTCGCAACATTTTATAAGGTTGAATGGTTTACTTATATTGAAATATAAAAATTGAATCGTGATCTCTTTGCAGCCGACTGTGATCCACTTTCGCTACAAGAACTCTGCCGCGGTAAAATCCGACGAAGGTTGCGGCAAAACGTCTGGCGCGAACACGCAGATCTCGAAACCAGCAAACCCATAGCTCTGGAACGCAGACCGTCCCCGCCCAATCATGCCCTACGCCAATTCATCATACCGATCACCGAGGAATCGGACGACGACATGCCATCGGACGAAGACGAAGAATCGCGCGTCCACCGCACCCAGCTACTCCTAAACATTAATGGTCCGCCTGGCGAGAATTTCCGTACGACCCTTCAGCTTATGCGCGCCGTGATACAGCCTAATCGAAGAAATACAGCTGCTCGAAATACCAGTGCCGTTGAGTCTAACGAGCGTCCCGAATCCGAGGAAAGGCCTCGCTCTCCAGTCGATGCAGATGAACGCAAAACTGACCAGCCAACTGACAGCTCGACGCAGAATCAAGACGTTATAGACTGGCGGGAGAATGAAGAGTCGCCAAGTACCGAGAACACAAGTACGAATTTTAGCAGCGAGCACGAAAGACAGGACTCGGAGAGTAGCTCTGACTTGGCATGTGACAAGTCGCACTCGGAAAGCCAAAACACCGACAACATTGATAAGAAGGAAAACAAGCCACCTGCTAATGGTCTGTAGTCTCTCTATATTATCATTGAAATTTCATAAATGATAAATAATTTATATGGCTTTGCGTTGCATTTTGCAGATCTATTGGCGTATTCGAATATGAGTGAAAGCGACAGCGAGCCGGAGAACGAAAGCGAAGCTGATACTGGTCGTCGCTCACTGCTCATTGAGAAGCATAAAAAGGCTAGTCACAAGGAAACGTCCGACAGCGGCATAGTCGAGGACGCCTGTGCTACGGGTAACGATGACGGCAGCATCAGCTCGGATTCTGATTATGCCAACGGCACTCCGGTTAAGCACAAACGTAGCAGCAGTAGTGGCAACAGCAGCTGCAGCGCCGTGTCCTCTGGTAGTAACAACAATAGCAGCCGTAGTGATAACAACAGTAACAGTAGTGAGCCCAGACGTAAGCGAAGGCCGAGCAGGCTTGGTCTCAGAGACACAGAATCTCCCAACAGAACTGGACATTACGTTGACACCAATGCTTTCTTTTCGTACATGAAGATGAAGATACATTTACTGCCCCTGCCCTATGCCCTCAAGATGTATATAAACTACAATCGAACCTTGTAATTATTTAATTTCGACTATCATTTTCCCCATCGAGTTGTTTCATAGTTCCTCCGTACATAGGAATTAGCGACATTATATGGTGAAATAAATATGGGCATGCGCTGCGAAAATCAAAATAAGATGACACGCATCGAATTTTCGTCAGTGCCTTAGAAAAAAAAAAAAAAAAAAAAAAAAAAAAGAAAAAGAAAAAACACGGACGAGGGGACGTTTGAATTTTGCCGCGCTCTTCGCAAACTCCATCTCCCTCTCTCTCTCTCTCTCCTCTTCCCCGTAGAAGGTGCAACTTATTATTTGTTCTGGCCTTGCAATGACATTCGATACTGTCTTTTCACCCGCGAGTTGGTACATTTTTTTTTTCTTCCTCCAAACCAAAACCGTAATTTTTACGTGTATATCCTGAGGTCGAAAACTTTGTCCCATCCGCGCGCGAGCGAAAGCTTCTTTGCGAGTCGATCGAAGCGGTAAGTATGGTTTGCCACCCGGTGGGGTATCACAAGAGCTGTGGGAAACAAAAGTAGATGGTGGTGTACGCACCGATCGGGCGGATCCACGGCACCGCTGTGTCCATCGCAGTGGTGTGTCTATTTTCACGCAGAACCGATGAGGATGTTCGGTTTGATTGGTCGCGCGTCGATGGCGGTGGTTACCGCGAAAATTTCCCGGAAAACCTGCGTGCCGTGAGATGGTTGCGACGCCGCGGGGGGACTGTAGTGTGCAACATGTATATACGTCATAGCCAGCTAAACGCCGTGCGATGTTGCCGATGTGGTGGTGTACATACAGGGGAGATATGAGAGAATTTAACGAAGACGCGCGAAATTCAAACGGCAAATTGTTGATGGGAATCGTGCGAGAGTTCGCGAGTGGAGCCTCATGTACATACAAGAAGATAACTTGTTGTTTGGATCTTGGCAAGAATGCAAGGGTGGATAAGGTTTTTCATCTTCCATTGTTCAATAGTTTGCTGTTGTGTGATTACGAAACGACTATATGAATCTTGAGGTTTTCATGTCCCACGGCTTTCGACCTTTTTTTCACGGCAGTGAGTCGTTTCTCCCCTACATGGAAATAATAGAACACTAGCCACATGTGCATGGAGTGCGGTACTGCGGTAGCACGTACATTATTTTCATGCAATATATGTTGCAATCGAAAAGCTCGTCGTAGATGGCGCTCGGATGGGTTGTATACCTGTAACTCGGATAAAAAATGCAGCAAAGTTTCGTCTCCGCATCTCGTCTCGTTTCGGACGTGAAGCGAAAAAAAAAAACACTACCTACATAGGTCTAAGTTACTCACGTTCAACCCCCAAACTCAAGATTTTTAATGACCCGAGCCGCTGTATGTGTACAACAGACAATGAGATCTATAGATTCATCCAAGTTTTGTATTATTGATTCAATGTTTGTAAATTTGCACAGGGAGAACAAAGTAGGTTCATTTGGGCTGCAGTTGGCAAAACAAAAATGCTTTCATGCTTCTGAAATTCTTTCAGTTTTGTTAAGTACTATTTTTACATAAATTCAACGTGCACATCGTCCGATCATTATCGAGTTTTATGTTTACTTTTTTTACTTAAAAAATTTAAATAAAGCAATTGCGCGCTTCAATATTTACAAATATTGAGAAAGATTGTAACAATAAACATTCAACATCGTATCAATAAAATGTCACTGAGAGGGTATTACATGTGCGCACGATAAGACTTTAGATGAAATATTTTTGTACCATCAACCAAGTGTAAGTTAACCTTTCGATGATGCTTCCGTTGCACTTTACGAATTAAAATCACGTAGTGCGGGTGATACGCGAACGAATTGCCAAGTGTGTTAAGTACTTTACCACGTAGATATTTCGAACATGATCGGGGCTCCTCAAAACAAGGTTAACTTAATCACTGTTTCAGCTAACTTGAAGACTAATAAAATTCTGCCAAGTACAGGAAAAACAATACCATGTCAAGTTTTGGCAATTATCGTGGGTCAATGTTCAAATGTATGCATGTAATGAGAGCCATACAATGTTCATATAAACAACGTATAAGANAAGTGTTAAAAACTATTATTATTATTATTTTAATTCACATATTCAATTTCAAAAGGCAAAACCCTAGAGAAGATATAACACATCATCAAATCGATTTTCAATTCAACAACACGTGCAAATAATTATGGGCAACACACACAGCCAAGCTATGGATATTCGCACTCACGAGTTCAAGGGCACGCGTATACATACACGCGGTTTGTACATAAAACACGAATCTAAAGAGGGTCGAATTGAATCAGGAAAGTAAGAAAAAACCGCCTCCCCTGCCCTGCCACCCCCGCAAAGTCGCGCTATCGCTTTCACGCGGACATCCGGGTCGAGTTGTCCCTGCATTGACTCTCGGATCGATTCTGCGTGTTAGGCGTTTTTAGTGAGCTCTCCAATTTAAAGGAGCCTATATACTATTAAAAAAAAAGCCAGGACTTCAGTGCATCGCTCGCGAAAAAATGAATCGGACAGCCAAGTGGCAGAAAGCAAAAGTGCGTGTAAAGTAACGAGCGAGAGACTATACAAAGGGGGGTTTGATGGTACCGCTCGTACGTCCGAGAAATCCATAGCTTTTCCAACCCACGCATAGTCATGGATTGGCAGTGTTCTCCGAGTCCCCCGCGGAATAAACTCATCAGAATCAATACAGCTCGGAAACTACGGTTGAAGCATTCGAGTCGATCTGTCCGCGGCATACGTGTGTGTATGTACTTGCAACTTCGAGATAGCAAAATACATCAGTCGCGATTTGCTTGCAATCATGATATTAGCCGTGTACATATACATATATGTATAATGTATACACGTTTGCGAGTGAGTTGGCAACGCGTGTGTAAGCTGTTGGATCCGATGTAGCCGGGGGTGATGTATTCCACCCTCGCGATGCCGTTACGAGCTTCGTTTTGTCGGTGTTGCTTTTGCTGCGTTATCCATACACAAGGTACCCGAGTTCGCTGTTTGAACGTTTTAATGAGTTTTGCCGTGGAATGTGGAATATCCTCGGCGATAAACAAGCGCGGGAATCAATGACGGGAAACGCACCCCCAGCACGGCCCCGCCAACTTTGAAATCTGACCTCACGCGTGACGTCGAAAAACTTACACATTGACATATAATATATATGGCTACGAGTTTGCAGTACTGTCGTGTCGCGAACCGACATGAAAACTTTCAACGATACTCTCGAGTTATACATGTGATTTGTCGGTGTATTTTTGTACAGATTACGTGCCATTCGGCGAGCAAATAAGCCGCTTGAATTTACTTCCGTACTCACTCAAAAATCACGAGTCAATGTAAAATTGGTAAAATCAATCGAAATAACTGTATGTCATCCCAATTAGTCCCGTCAATGAGTCCTTGGTTGATATATGTACGGTACACCCGCAGTCGTCCTGGAGACGTAGAAGGACGCAGAGCTCCAAGTGCTGGGACGGCCGTCGTTAGCGCGAGGTCTCCTCCCGTATTATCTCAACAGCTCAACTCCGAGCAAAGTCAGGAGTGGGGCAAAGCTGGGCGCCGCAGTAGAGTTAAGTGAGTCCTCCTCGAGTTAAGTGATACCGGTGCATCGCTACTCGCCTCGCCTATCTACAAATGGGAAATTCGTGTACATGGACGACAATGCAGAGGGAATTCCGAGGGAGGGGGGGGGGGACGGGTTCATGAGCGCGCGACAATCAATGCCATAGAGAGAGTCTTGTTTGCAGTGCTGGTCAACAATCGCGTGGATGAATTACTTTTCCCTGGATGTGTTAAATGCTTGAGTACTTCAACAACAAACTTTCGCTTAGTGTCACCTGTAAACTACGGCAGGGTTTACGTACGAGTAAATTTTTCCCCATTTGGAAGGGTGATTTTATCTTTTTTTTTTTTTTAATGAAGAGTCCAGGTTTTTTTTTTTTTTACTCAACGATAAAAATAAAGCCGTCGTGTTTGTTTGTCGAACGCTATTTTGAACAATACCTAACCAGCTAGGCTACACTCACTGGCAATCTGAGCTTCAGCGTTTTGAAACACATTTCTTTTAGGGATTTTTTTTTGTACGTATACGGTAAAAAAGAGAAAATTTCCATGGAACATTTTTTTCCCAACGCCAAAGTAGAAGGAGAGGGGTTTAAGGGATCTTGGTCCTGCAAACGCATTTTTGAATTTCACTTTAAGAAAAGCGTCGCGCAAATGGAGCGGTGTTGTTCGAGGAAAAAAAAAAAAAAAAAAAAAAAAAAACTAGGTAAAGAAGAGAATCATTTCCTTGCGCTGACTTTATTTTTTCCACTAGAATGAGAGCAGGGGACCTCTTGAAGCGAATTGGTCATAAAATTGTTTAAGTTCAAAAGTGTCCGAAATACCTCTGAAGTTACATTACATTAAGAACCATAAAATTGTAATTTAATCGAGATAAAGGCAGGGACAAGTATATTGATTGAAAATTCATTGAATCCCTTTGACATTCAAGTACTAAAATTTTTGTCAAGTAGCTAAGTGGAATGACAAAAGTAAAAGAACGATCCCCCGAGGCATGTCGTGGGTAATAAAAGTTCACTCGCGCAACACCCCTTCCGATTTGACAATTTTACACCCTTGGGGCATTTTTTACTCTCCAATGAACAAAAAACTTACATCGTCCATGTAAGAGATAGAAAAAATTATTTTCCTTAATAAATAAATACGCATTTCAGAAAAAAAAAAATTAATAAATACAAGGGAGATGTGAAGTAGACTATACGCGAGAAGTTGTAAAAGGGAGTCGTGGCAGTGGTGTAGAAAAAGATGGGAATATAGATAGACGGCGGGAGAGAGAGAGAGGAGAGAAAATGAGGAGCCAAGGCCAACTCTACTGCAATTATGCAAAAAGGAGCAGCATAGGAAGCTCTCGCTTACCCACTGTATAGTTTTTTAATAAGAAGTAAGAGCAGTTCCCACCAACAACTACGCACGAACGTGTGCATGTGTACACGCAATGGGAGAACTACACTGAATTTCATTAAACCAGACGTGCTTGTTAAATGCCCGGGCCGTACTACGAGTAGGGAATTTTACTGCTTGTTCAGCCCAGATGCGGGTGTATCTGGAGGCTCGCTTTCATCAGCTGGAAATATGGCACTGACATGTCCTTGTGCCGCTTCTTTTTCTTTAACTACCTAC